TATATGTATAGCTGATTCACTTTGTTATACAGCAGAAACTAACACACCATTGTAAAGCAATTATACTCCAATAAAGATGTTAAAAAACAAAAACAAAAAAACAGTATGTACTACATATTGTTGCTAAACACCATAGGGAAGAACGATCAGAAAATTATGAACCAAGACTTTAAAAGAATAGTTTAAGTTACTTATTTAGTGGTTTTGATTGGCCTTTAGTTGAGAAATACCTGTAGTGTTGAACCGGCTTTCCTGAAAAGAAACATGAATATATGAAATTTATTTTTCACTTAGTGATCACAAAAACCTATTGTGATTAGTCAGTTTCATTATTGAGAATGTGATTTGAGCTCCCTTGAAAAAGATTCCATATAAATTAATGCGCTTGCGAAGTTTATTTTTAATTTTTATATTATTTTTTAAAATGGGTGTTAAGTAGTGTAATGAGGTGTAGTCTTCACTTTCGTATGGATGAATTTTGTGAGTGGCTGAATGAGTCATTCGCAAACTAAGATTCTACTTCACAGGAGTATTTTGAGAATAAGCTTAAGAATGTGTAAGTTCGTAAGAAAGGAGCTAGGGCTCCTTGGAGAAATGGCTGATTCCTGGACTGGGGCAGGGGAAGTACAGGATAAGCCAGTAACTTCTTATGACGCCAGAACGTGAGGAAGTCGTCACAAAAATATGGGGCATGTTGAAATGACACAGGGGTAACTTAAAGGAGCTCCCAAGAGCTAAGTCTGGGACAATTTGAGCAACAAAATAAAGAATGGTAGTAAAGGATTACAATCCCTAGAATAAAATAAATATGAGTCCATGCTTCTATCGGTAAATAATTGAATACATAAATAAATGAGGGAGAAGGAGCAGCTCCTGCTTAGATAGAATTCTAATTAATAAATATAGAAGGAATGATGTAAATAGAAAATCACTATTTGGCAAATACCACAGTAGTGATTGTTGCAGACCACATCCACCTGTGCATGCTAAAATTAGATGGCGGTATGATGAGAAACAGGGTATTTGCATACTCTCAAAATATCTCTTCACAAGATACTTAATATTATAGAGAGAAAAATACTAACTTTACAGTGGGGAAACCTAGACGAACACCACATTTTTAATTAATTTATTTTAAATTTATTTATTTTTGGCTGCGTTGGGTCTTTGTTGCTGCGCGCAGGCTTTCTCTAGTTGCAACGAGCGGGGGCTACTCTTTGTTGCGGTGTGCCAGCTTCTCATTGTGGTGGCTTCTCTTGTTGCAGAGCACAGGCTCTAGGCCTGCAGGCTTCAGTAGTTGTGGCACGTGGGCTCAGTAGTTGTGGTTTGCAGGCTCTAGAGCGCAGGCTCTAGAGCGCAGGCTCAGTAGTTGTGGTGCATGGGCTTAGTTGCTCCGTGGCATGTGGGATCTTCCCGGACCAGGGCTCGAACCCATGTCCGTGCATTGGCAGGCGGATTCTTAACCACTGCACCCCCAGGGAAGTCCCCCCTCTGGACTCTTTACAAAACTAAATCCTTGATATAAGTTTGTTTTATAATTTATATGCTTATGAGCAAATCAAACAATATAGTATTATATAATCATTGATATTTAAAAGATGTTTACTCAGCTGTGTTTCTCATCTGGCCATCTTTATTACTTTTCTCTTCCCTGCCTTCCTCTTTGCATCTGTATCTCAGTATCACCAGATAACAGGCTGTCACTCCAGCTCTGAATAGCATGTTTAATAGGTGTAACTGGTAGAAGAAAATGTAATCTGGAATGCAACATACCTTTCTCTCCAAGCTGCATTTCTCTTACTTTCACCACACTTCAAGAAATAAAAATGGTGCTTTGGAGGAGAGAGGAAAGTAAGAGGTAGAACAACTGAGAAGAAGAGAAAAAGCAAATTTTGAAGAAGCACAAAGGCGGGTAAGGGGGTGGGTGCAGCAAGGGGGGTTAGGTGAGAGTAGGAGAGGCTGGTCAGAGAAGGCCCAAAGTCAGGCTGCAGGATCCTCTCCACCTTTGGACTAGATAAAGCGCTGAGCCCTCTGGGTCTCAGGAACCTCTTATGCGGTGACCAGTGGGTAAGTAAACCATAGGTTAACTTGGGCCAGAATGAGCTTAATCAGCATCGCGACAAGCATTTCATGAGTGCCTGCCATCCATAGCCTCCTGAACCCAGTAACCACTAGGCTACCACCCAAGAAAAGACCAAACCTCCGTTCCAGATGTTTTATTCACCACTCTGTGGACAGAAGGGAGTAGAGTCCCCTAAATTCTCCCAGTCCCTTTTCTGTCCCCTGCCCAGACTCATCTTTCTCTAATCCTGGGGCTGACAGATCAGAGGGGAGGCTTGAAAGTCTGCCTTTTTTGCCCCTCTCCTTGGATGCAGGGTTCCTACCAAGCCATTAGAACTTGCCTGACTTGAACTTTGCCTGACAAGGAGTAATCCCTTCCTTTACAGATAACAGAATTGAAGATACCTGGTACTGGGTTGGCCAAAAAGTTGGATCGGTTAGTGAATATGTTGTTCAATACAGTTCTTCGTGAAAATGAAAAATGTCTTTTATTTTTACTTAAAACTGAATGAACTTTTTGGCCAATCCAATATATTTTAAACAATTTCCCAGGCAGGCATGACAGTTCTTGCTTGTATTTTTGTTAGACCATAAGGTTTGTGTGAAATATGTTCAGGCTTGGAAGCAGACCTGGGACCCCAAAGGCTTAACAGTTTTACTCCAGAATGATTTCTTTTCTTAGCCGTGCCGCGTGGCATGTGGGATCTTAGTTCCCAGACCAGGGATTGAACCCGGGCCCTTGGCAATGAGAGTGCGAATTCTGACGCTGGACTGCCAGGGGAATTCCCTCACTCCAGAATGAAGCTGAGTGTATTTTTAGAGTAATTTAGTTACAAAGAAATTGTGGCATCTAAGCCTACTTTTTTGTACAGGAGTCAAGAAACAGGTAAAAAATACAGGCAGGCTTGATTGATCTTAATAGATCAGATGTTGCACTGTCTGTGGCACAGTTTGCTGTTCACATTTCTGATCTAAAATTGCTATTCGGGCTTCCCTGGTGGTGCAGTGGTTGAGAGTCCGCCTGCCTATGCAGGGGACACGGGTTCGTGCCCGGTCCGGGAAGATCCCACATGCCGTGGAGCGCCTAGGCCCGTGAGCCATGGCCGTTGAGCCTGCGCGTCCGGAGCCTGTGCTCCGCAACGGGAGAGGCCACAACAGTGAGAGGCCCGCGTACCACAAAAATAAAAAAAAATAAAATAAAATAAAATTGCTATTCGTCCATGCTTAATGAACTTATTTAAAAAATATAAGGTAGTTTTCCTTACAAATGTGATCCCTATCCTAGAATTTTCGATCTGACTAAGAACTAAAACAGATGGGAGCAGAGCACAGTGGGTGATTTGCCTGCAAAGAGATGCTCATGAGGAGGTCATAAATCAGTGGTTCTCAGCGAGGGCGATTTTGCCTCCAGGTATATGTGACAACATCTGGAGATGTTTTGTTTTGGTTTTTGGTTTTTTTGGTTTTTTTTTTTTGCGGTACGCGGGCCTCTCACTGTTGTGGCCTCTCCCGTTGCGGAGCACAGGCTCTGGACGCGCAGGCTCAGCGGCCATGGCTCACGGGCCCAGCCGCTCCGCGGCATGTGGGATCTTCCCAGAGCGGGGCACGAACCCGTGTCCCCTGCATCGGCAGGCGGACTCTCAACCACTGCGCCACCAGGGAAGCCCTGGAGATGTTTTGATTGTCAGCCTGGGGAGGAGGTGCTACTGGCATCTAGTGGGTAGAGGCCAAGGATGCTGCTAAACATCCTGCAGTGCATAGGACAGCCCCTCAACAAAGGATTATCTGATCTGAAATAGCAATAGCATTGAGGTTAAAAAACAGTGTCATAAATATGTGCAGAAGATACTGTATGGACTGATTGATAAATCAGCTACGTTAGGAATAAACCCAAGATGGTGCCTACATTTGTGGCTTCTGTCTCTGGGACTTGTGGTTGTTGTTGGTTTTTTTTTTTTTTTTTTTTCCAGATTTCTATTTTTAAATCATTTTAGGCTTACAGACTGGGCAATTGTCATCTCCATCTGTTTTCTTAGCACTTGGTACATGGGAGGCTTTGTTAACTGTTGAGTGAAGAAAAAGAGAATGAGCAAAGAGATGCAGGAGGAGGAACAGATCCAGTTAGGTTTCACTTCCACATAAACTCTGTGAGAAACACTTAGGCAGAGGGAAGGTTTGGGGATAAGCTTCTTGGTTTTCTAGAAACATCTGGCAGGTCACCCCCCTGCATCTGCCTGTGCCTGTGCTTGGCTAAGGTTGTGCTTGTGGAATTGGTGTCAGGGAGAACATCTCCTGCTTTGGCCACTGATGAGCTTTGGGTCTTGAAAGAGATCATTTCACACCCTGCACCTGACCCTGGCCACTGAGGGTGACCAGGACAATGCTATAGGCCATTACCTATTAAATGTGTGTGTGTATGTGTATCCTGATTAAAACATAGAAACCTGAAGAGTGAAAGTCTTATCATAATCCTGATGATAAATTTTAAATGTCTATATTAGCATATAATTATTAAAGATAAAAATGGAATTACAATTTCATGGTATATTATACTATTTTACAGTATGTTTTTACCATACTATAATGTGGACATTCTTTATTTTAGTATGATGGGTAAATCATTTCAAGTTGTCTGAAAAATAAGGATGATAGTATCCGCCCCCCTATTCCAGAGGCATTAAAGAGACTCAAATATAAATTAAGATTTGTGAAGTGTGTTGAGTTTCTTAGATGAAAACACCATGATGTTATGGTACCGTGTTGTATTTTTAATTGATTATAACAGTTTTAATTAACGATTCTATTATTAGTTTCTTCTGAGATGTTATTGAAATATTTTTTAAAACATTCTGAGTCCTCAGAGAGAAACCATTATGGCTACCTTAATGTAGTGTGTGTAATACTCTTAGATTTCAGCTGCCTTTTTGTGTTCCCCACAGGCAAATACGTGTATCAGCCGATGACCCCTGTGGAACAGCTTCCAAGCACTGAGATTCCCGCAAGGCCTTGGGAACCCACAAACACCATTCAGATCTCAGTGTCCCTCACTGAACACTTTTTGAAATTCGCATCTGTCTTCCAGCCTCCCCTCCCCCCTGATTCACCCAGGTACTGTATGATCTCAGACCTCTTTATTGACAACTATCAGGTTAAATGTATTAATGGGAAGATGTGTTATGTGCAGAAGCAGCCGGCGCCACATTCCCACAAAATTAGCCCCGAGGAGGTCTCTGCACACGATGCCTTAATATCAAAAGAGAGCAATACGCCAAAAATAGATCACTGCTCTTCTCCCTCAAGTTCTGAGGACTCTGGGATCAATGCAGTCGGGGCTCACTATGTGGAGTCGTGTGATGAGGACACAGAAGGAGGAGCAGAACTGAGTTCAGAGGAAGATTACAGTCCAGAGAGCAGCTGGGAACCAGACGAGTGCACCCTTCTCTCCCCTTCGCAGTCTGATCTGGAAGTGATCGAAACAATAGAAACCACCGTGTGAGCGTCCAGGCAGGAAGCCACGTCCTCTGATCCATGCTGAGCTTTTGTACTTTTGTCTAATGGATCCTTTTTCCAATGCAGTCGATGTTTTCTACCCCTCTCTAACAACCATACCAGTTCAGTGGTCTGCTGATTTAGCTTCACTTTTAAATTAGTCTTATAATTAAGACATTTTTTTCTTATAAATGGTTTTCTTTTGTATCTTGACTTCCTTTTTATGTAGCATCTGGTGTCATGAATTGTGACCCAGCCTTAATTTCACTGGGAACTTTGAAAGCAATGATGTGATGAAGTGATGATCACAGAGCACCACGGATCAGGTTGAGGAGCTGCCCGGAGTGAAGGAGACACTATTTTATAAAGAGCCAGTTCTTCGCAGAACAACTCTTTGGCGTTCCTTTTGGCGTGCTGACGAGCACCCCTACCCTGCTAGTCCCGTGTGGAAAGTGGTTCACGTGACCCCTCAAGGTGTGCACTGGTTAATGCCATTCTGTCCCTTTCCCCGTCTCCCCACCGCCTGCACTGGGGCTGGGCCAGTGCTGTCCTGGCTTACTTCTGGGAGGTTACTGGAGGCCAGCTCAGTCCCTAGTTATGGCCAGTGTCTGCACATCCCTCCGTTATCTGGGGCTGAGCTAGACCTCACTTCAGAAGAGATTCCACCTCTGTTTCAGGCTCAGTCCAGCTTTAGCTGAGTGCCTACACTCTTCAGGGATACAGAGTGAATAAGGCCTGACTCCCGGCAGGAAGGGACCACAGTCCAGTAGGTGAGGTAACTCCTGCAGGTGATGGGACCCAGAGTGCCCTGGGAACCCGGGGGAAGGAGAGATGTACTTGGCCTGGGCTAGCTGGGGATGTTGTACCATTTGAACTGGCCTCTTGGGGTGGGTTCCCCAACATATCCCTGCTTTTTAAAATTGTTCTTCAAGTCTGGGGGAAACTTTTAGGAGTTATATAGGAGGCAGCCACATCTGATGTCTTAAGAAAAAAAGTCAGTCATAGTTTTAGTTAGCATGGAAGTGCTAAAGACAGCAGTCCTTTAGGGATTAGGAATGAATCTAATAGGTTTGTTTAATTCTGCTTCATTTGGTTGTATGAAGCATTAGGATGGCTTAGGTGAGAACTGGATTAGAATTCAGTATGATGCATGGATTTTTTATGCCAATGCAAAAACAGTTGAAATAGTTTGCTAAGTCAGGAGAAAATATTTTGTGTAATATTCATTCACTTTACAACAGTAATATTCATGGGCTGTTGTAAATATTCTCTTTTCCTGCACACATAAAATAGTGACTCTTTCTTATTTAGCTCTCTTCAGAATTCTGCTCCTAATCTCCATTAGTAACTGGTGTTCTCGTGTGAGTCGGTTACCTGCTGTTTCTCCAAATATACCGTCTGTGTGGCATAGTTAAGAATCTAGGAAATTTAAAATATGGCCCACATGAAACCAGAACTGTCAAAGTTGGAGCTAGAGAAATACTTCCTACACCCTGACTATCCATGAGTGCGCGCTCATGGCATCATCTCATGACATATCTTCTGTGTCACATTAGTTTGTATTTTAAGAAGAGGCCTGTTGTGTCCTTCCCTGAAGCCTCCCCTTGGCATCTTTCAAAAGTCACTCCAGGCAGAACCTGCTTTCCTAGTTGTATGTGTAGTCACGTGACTGGCTAGAAGCGTTTGTTAGATTTAGGTGCCCCAGGCAGCCATAGGGTTTAGGAAGCAGAGTGTGCATATTCCTTTGAAAGCAGTGTTCGTTAACACTTTCTGTGCTGGATGAGAATGCAGCCAGCATAAAGTTCCCACCTATTGAAATGTAAAGACTTAACAAGTCAAACCAAGAAGGTGGTGAGCAGAGCTCCAGGTACAGCGGGGCCCAGGAGAGGGTGGCGGAGGAGGGTGTACGGAGAGGGGCTTAGGGACAGATAGCTGATGAGCCCTGCCCTGGGCTCTCAGCACCGCCCAGGATTGAGTGGCCAGCTGCAGCCAGGGCGACTCGCGCCAGGGTCCTGTCTTCACCTAACTCTGGGTGAGCTTGTTGCAACCCCGGGCAGGAACACGAGGCGCTCTTTCTCTGCCCCATTCCTATCAGTTCTCTCCTCCATCCGTTAATCTAATTGGAGTCAACCACCAGGTCTCCAGAGCCATGGGAATCCATGGGCACAGGGCCACGTTTCTGAGGCTGGCTGTGTCAGGGTTGGGCACTTTATATGGTAATATCTATGACTTTTGCCTATGTTCCTGTTTAAACTCCTGAACTGCCATTCAGATTAGCCATGATTTTAATGGAATTTTTGGATTTAAGACTTGTTGATAATCACTTTAAATATTTGCACAAACTCTTTATAATTAAAAACTAAGATTCACTTCTATCTATTTTATAGAACTGGAGATGTTCCACAGGATTCTAAATATCAGATGCTCCTGGATCTCAAAGTAGCCTTTTCTGACTAAGCACAGACAAGAATTCTTTTTTTTGTCCTAGCACTGTTAATAATTATCTGAAAATCATATATGATTGAACGAGAATTGTTTCTCTAATGCTTGCATTCCAACAACAACTGATAAGGATATAAAAATACGTAGTTTCAACTTAAATTCTAGGCCTATTCTGTTCTGTATTATATGAAAGAATTGCTCTGTAATCCTGATACTGTATTGCTCATTTGTATAAGCATATTTATAGGCACTTTTAGAAAATGTTTAGACTGCAGTGTGTACTATAGACATAGAACACAGTCATGTTAAATAGGTTTTTGATTAATACTTGTACATTGAGAGATATGAAAGCTTTATCATTTGGACCTTTGCTCATTTGGGGCAAACAGTTGGGCTGTGTGGGTGGAAAAACTGCTTTCTTGGGCTTTTATCAAAAACTGGCACTATTCCCACTTTTTGAAAGTTGGCGTAAAAGCTGTTAGGTAGAACATACAAAATAAGTGCTGTGTGGAATTTAGCTCTCTTATCTAACCAAGATTTCTTCCAGAATTTTCAAGTTTCACACATGTTCGTGACTTTTCTGAGAAATGACAAAGCAATTAAAATGCTTTTGTCGTTATAACTGTTTGGTACATTAACAACTGAAGCTTTACAATCAAATCTAGGTATTTTCAGGATCTGAAATGCAAATTTGAGGAAAACCCTGAAGAAAAACAGATGCTTTCCTGGAAGGGGAAGACCTGTAGTTCAAGGTAATACAGTACAAAATGAAACAGAAAATAAAATCACCAAAACCAGAACAAAACCATGAAGTTTGTTTTCCTGGATTTGATCTAGGATTTGATTTTATCTGAGTGGTGGTTTTATTTCTTAATCTCTACTTCCTGGCCTATTTGAAACATCAAAGTTCTTTTGGGGCGATCATAAACTCCTTTTAAAGCAAATTTCTCTACTCGGGCAATAGGATGCAACCAGATAATTTGGAAAGCTGTCAAAACATCCAGCTACTTTTGGTGGTATAAATACTTCTAGGCCAGAAAAAAAAGCACAAGTTAAAATAATATTTACACAGTCAACACTTGATTATTCCATCTTGTTTGCAAAATCTTGTTGATATGTTTTGGATTTTTACATGAGGAAAACAAAGTTTCCGTGGGATTTCTTTCCCGCTCCCCTCTCCAGAGGAGGTGTGAGCACATTAAGGAGGCCAGTTGTATTTGGGGCTTTTCTGTTGTGTGCGATTGTGTCTCTTCCCGTTGGACGTTTCCGCACTTTATCAGTGCTGTCAATTCCAGGGATGTCAGTGCTTCTCACATCCAAACATAAGTACAGGGGCACTTCTCAAAACTAAGTTTGGAATTATTTATCTTAAAAAATTTCTTATGTCACTGCTCCCTTTCGTTGTCATGGATAATTGAGAGTTGACTGTCTTGGGAAAGGGTTGCGTTTCTGTTCGTGCTTTGAGTTCTTTCCGTTAAGGCTGAAGCAGTGCTCTCTTAATAGTCTGAACAAGTCTGAAAGCAAATCATCAGTAGCAGTTTTAATGCTGAGCTTCCATATCATCGTGTTCATGTGTACTTTTAAGGCTGTTCGTACCCTGTAATACGCACTGTGTGATTTTTTTAAAACCTCTCTGTTTTAAAGTTTTGAGCACAATGTTGATCCGTGTGTAATTTCCTAAAATTATATTGTTTTCCTACAAACAGCTCAACTTTCCTCTCTGTATAATACTTCAGGAAAATACTACCTTGTAAAATAAATGTGATTTTTTTCTTTTTTACCAGCACAAATACGATATTTTGAATTTTGGAATATCCTCCCCCTCCACCCCACTTTAGAGAGTTTGTCTGATTTAAGTAATAACACAATGTGAGCCTAACAAAAACAAAAGCCCCCATTTGCAAAATGTGGAAACATTTATACCCAGTGCTTACTTTGTGCTAGGAAATCAGTGTTTTACATCATTATTCCATTTAAATTTTACAAATCCTTAGTGCAGGTAATTATTATGCATACTGTACACTCACGGTCGCCACTGTTGATAATTCCCAGAACCCTTTATAATAAGAACTTTTTTGTTGGCTGCATTAGGTTTATACAAGTAAAAATTACATTCCCCCACAAACGGTATTTATTTCACACAACGCTACAAGCTATGTGTTCGGTTCATACATTCCATGTAAGACAGTTCTGACTGCAAGTTGGATCCAGGGAGGCCGCTGCCCTGCTGAGCCTCGGGGGTGCAGTCACTAGGTCACCAAGGCTGAGGGTCCAAGCCTCAGCGTGGCAGGTCCAGGAGCTTAATTTTTATATTCACACCAAGAAAAGAGTAGCTTTGGGGTTGGCTTTTATTGAATAACCTCATGGGGAGTGCTAAACAAATTTGCTTATCAGTAATAGAAATAATATCATTGTTTATATTAATAATGATAGCTCAACGGCTGCCTTCCTGCTTTCTCTGAGTATCCCTCACAGCAGCCCTGTGAAGGAGACTTCAGTATCCTCACTTCACAAATCAGGAAAAGGGCTCAAGAAAGAAAACATTTTTGTTCAGAGTGGCACAGCTTGTAAGTAAGTGGGAGTCATGTTTGAACTGTCACCTTGGCCGTGGAGCTCATACTCTCGGCCCTTTTCCTGCGTTGTGTCCTCCTGTAGCCCTTCCCACCCTCAGGGGCCATGGAGGCTGAGCCAGGAGGCCAATAGTGAGTGGGGAGGAGAGCAGAGGGTGCCCCCTTCCTGTCCGTGACCAAGAAGACGCCTCCCTCACCCAGACACCACCAGGCTTCTCCCTCCCTCCCCCTTCTGTGCTCCATGTGGACCTCCCCCCAACACGTACACGCGCCCGCACGCGCTCAGCATCTTTCTGCAGGTATCTCAGTGGTTTGATTTGGCCATTGCTTCTTCTATGTTTAATCATGAGTCTAGGCTAACTCTTTCTGCCTTCACAAAGGATAACTTGTCTTTTAAAGTGACTTCTGCAGACAACTCATCTCATTAACGAAGTGTGCATTCTACTAATTTAACTCTCTACATGATTGTATTGCCAAGTTGTAGAAAGCATCTCATTGTAGCCTCTTACAGATGCTGACTGCACACACTTTTATTCTGCAATAAACTTTAATGTAGCATCTCATCCTTACTACATTTCTATCGCTGGGAATTGGTAATGCCTTTAGCCCTTGGTGTCCCACTCCAGTTCTGTGATGAATGAAGGGGTGAGACAGGACCTCGGGACTCAGGCTCGCTGCAGCACGGTCAGGAGGAGCAATTGGAAGCCAGCGGGAATTCCTCAGAAACCGGGCAGGTAAGGGTAGACATGCCTAGATATTAACAGCGTTTTTCTGTTTGCTCTTTGGAATTTTCCGAGTTTTCTAAATGAGTTGGTGTTACTTTTATAACCAGAAACAAACCCTGTAAGCTGTTTGAAAGTGAGTTCGGGTGGAGCCTGGCACTGCAGGTTTGTGGGAGGAAGTGGGGAGTCTTCGAGTCTGGGCAGCGTTGCACCCACTCATCCACTTGGGGGAGGGGTGCAGACTGTGTGTCCTGGAACCACCCGGCCTCCCCAAGGACTGACCCCAGTCCAGGCCTCCAACCATGGCTGGAAGGGTCTTGGGTCAGTGAGTTGGAGAAAAGAGAGGATTTGTTTCTCATTGTCCTTCTCAGTCCCCAGTCTGAAACCGTGTGTGTGAATTTGGAGGTGGGAGACCAGAAAGCTTGGGCTCTGGTGGGACATCTTAGTTCTCTTTGACAACTAGCCTGTCACCTAGTGTACAGTCCCAGAGGATTTATCCCAAGAAGGAGATCTGGAGCGTCACTTGTAAGGTGACGACAGAAAGTGCAGCATTGTGGGTCCTCGGAGCCCCACAGCATCTGAAGGGGGACTTAGCAGGCATTTCCCCAGGTGTCACCTTACCTGCCAAGCCCGGCAATTCTGCATGACAGGCAGGACAGGATAATTTCATGAGTTTATGGCTGAAGCATCCAAGAGCTAAGTCAACAGTAAAGGCAGGTGAGTCACTCTTAATTGGCAGGTAAGTAGCAGGGCCAGAGCTCCAAAATTCTGTTGATGCCAAGTCCAGCCGGTGTTCCCCCCTCACTTGTTGAGCCGCTGCAGTCACACCTGCCCTCCCCTGCCTCTCTCCCTCCCCTGCCTCTCTCTCCTCCCCAGACCTGGGGCCCCGAGGCCATCCATTGCGGTCCTCACTCCCCAACCGTGGCTCTAGGTGGGGGCATCCAGGAGCCACAGCCCAGCCTTCCGGGCATCACCTGCTGCTGCCCTTGCTGTCAAGTGCTCTGAATTCTGCCCAGCCTGGCTCGACCTCGTCCTCGGTCTGGCTTGAGACCCAGATGAGACCCGGATGCTGCCTCTGGCTCAGGAGCAGCCCTGGATATAAGAACTCTCTTGAGAACTGGCCTCAGATCTTAGCACTTTCGGTGTCAGCCGCCTCGGCAGCCTCCTGCTCCCAGCCTCACTGAAGTGGGGCCTTTGATACCAGCTGCTTCCCGTGGTAGCACCAATCCTCACCCACCTTAGGCTTGCCTCCCAGGGCCAGCCTATTCCAGGGCACGAGGGCCTCATGTACTAGACTGAGTTTCTGCCCCCATGTTTAGAATCTTCCTGTATGAACTGTGATGCCAAACTTCATCAAGCAGATGTAGGTACACCCATGTATCAGCAGAGGACCTGGAAGAGCCATCCCAGCGTATCCACAACAGTGCTCTCAGAGGCCATGCAGTCAGGCCGGGAGCCCTTGGGAAGGCCCGGGGTGGGGGGGTGGTTCTGCCCTGTGTCCGGAGGGTGGGCTCCCTGAGGCCTGGCTGGGATGTGCATAGGGATCCACAGAGCTGGTTTTTCCTGGGAATCTAGAATGTTGAGAGGTAACTAGCATGATTTAGAAGCTGCACTGAATATGGGGAGGACGCCAGGGATTTGGGATTCCTGAGGAACCCAAGGCCCTGGGTGAATGGGGCCTAGAGTGGGCATCTCTGTACAGGTCACTGGGAGGTCAGCACAAGATCAGTGGGTCCAACTAGAATTCACTGGGGTCTTTCTGATGACTGGGGTTCCAAAACAGGTCAGTTCTTCCCGGAAGATTTATCCTTACCCCAACCTATCCAAGAGTCACAGAGAAGCAGTGAATTCCTGGAGCTGCAATGTGTTTCCTGAATCGGGAAATTACTTGGGCCCCATGTTATGCCTGATATAGCCACTCGGAAAGGGAATAATGGGTTATGGAGAGGTCAGAAGTGGGGAGGATGAAGGGAGGAAGTTGACTGGGAGTCACCATCTCAGGTGGAGGTGGAGGTGGAGGTGGATTGTGGGAGTATTGAAGGATGATGGGCCAACTCATTCTTCTAGAGAGAGAAGAGGCCAGGTTGGGCAAACCATGAGGTCCCCCACTTTGTCAGGGGCTGGGACCTGATCTGGCCCTCCAAGGCTATTGGCACCAAATTCTGACCTCTGCGATGCATGTAGCGCAGAGTTCCGAGGGAACCGATGTCCGATAGGAATGGGCTACTGGCTTCCCTCGGTTATTAAGTGTCCCTGTGTGAAGCCGAGGCCCATCCCCACCAGCAGCTTAACAGCAGATCCCAAAAGGCTCCTGAGCCAACTGATCCCTGGCTGGGGCAGGAGGCAGAAGCCAGGGCCTGTGCACCAAGAGCTGGGGAAGGGACTGTGCAGGGGGTGGTGTGCATGTCTGACCTGCCCCGTCGCCCCCGAAGCTGTAGACACGCATTCATTCACACAGGCATGCATATGTTCAAAAATCTGTTAATTATACCTACTCTCTGACTCTGAAAAATCATTCCTAAGTTTATACCCAACAGAAATGCATACATATGTTCACCCAAAAGACAGGAAGAAGAATGGTAATGAGCCAGTACTGGAAACAACGCAAACATCCATTAACGATAGAATGGATCGGTTATGGTATATTCATACAGTGCAATACTATTCAGCTTTGAGAAGGAATACCATGGAGCAATCTCACAAGCGTGATTGGAGTAAAAGAAGCCACTTCCAAAAGAGTAAATAATGTACTTTGTGAAGTTCAAAACAGGCAAAACCATGTATGGTGTTAGAAGGCAGGATGGTGGCTGACTTGCGGGGTGATGAACAGAATTCAGGGGACGTCTGAGGTGCTGGCCATTTCCATTTGCGTGATCCGGGTGCTGGTTATACAGGTGTGTTCACTTCATGAATTAATCTGGCTTTGCAATGTGGTTTGTGAACATTTCTGTCCATAAAAAGTTTACTTTAAAAAGAGACTTAAGAGATGGTGGCAGCGAGCCTGCTTTTCAGCACTGTGCTGTGAAAGACACAGGCGTGGACTGGACACAGCCACGTCCCTCAGGAGTGATGGAGGCAGACAGGAAAACACCCAAGCGTGGAAACAAGGTGAGTCAAACTGCCCCTTGCCTGGGGAAGTGGGGAAGGCTTCATAGAGTATTGGGGTGTGGAGGAGGCTGGTGGCAGAAAGATGGCCATGGGTGCTCTGAGAGGAGGGGCCCCTGGATGAACCCTCTGATGAGTCAGGGCCACCCCCTGGAGCTCAGAGGTGCTCAGAATCCCCTCAGACTCTGCAGGGACCTGAGGTCCGCCCTGGGCTGCCAGAGGACGACACACTAGGTCTTTCCTGCAGCTCTGGGCACGTCACACGCACCTGATTCTGGAGATGCACCTTTGGAAAAAACATTTTCAGCAGGCAGAGCTGAGTGGAAACATACTGCTGCTAAAAGGATCCCCAAAGCTCTGAATTATTTATTCACGGATGCATTCATCATTGATGAGGCCCCAGTTGGCTTTCCTCTTCCACAAACAACTGCCCTCCCGCTCTCACCATGGTAGGCTGTGGTTGGTACCATGTTACCTTTACAAAGCATCTCCCCCACGTCACTTGGACCTTCACTGTAGATGCAGCAGATGCGTCTCTATTTTTCAGAGGAGTACTAGCCTTCCTCAGCTCACACGTGGGCCTGTGGGGCCTGTGCCTAGAACCTGGGGCCCCTGACTGGCAGTCCAGGGCTCTTTCCAACAGCGCATTCTGCTTCCTGTGGGGAACTGGGTGAGACTCCATCCCCCTCCTCGCCCCCCGTGGCAGGAGGTGGGGCACTCAGCTGAGCTGGGAGCTGACTATTTTCAGATGGTCCTTTCAAATACTTAACCGTTTGCCATGTACAAAGAAGAAACAGGCTGTGATGGACACTGCTGCGTTTTTGGCAAATCAGAATCCCTCCCTTCTTAGGGCCCTGACTTCCTTTCAGAGGACCACCTTCCCCTCCCCCGGGCGCAGCATGGGAGGAGCCGGCTCAGACCAGGCACGTGCCCTCCCCAAATGGTAGCTGATGGGTGCCTGGAGCCTCCCTCCCTCAGATCTTTCCTCTTACCACCTGTCACAGCCCAGGGGCGGGCATGTGACCCGCAAGAGCAGCTGGAGCTCAGCACCGGGGCTGGAAGCGAGTGCTCAGAGCTGCTGCTCCTCCATCCTGGGAGCCCCCCACCCCCTCAGTGAACTCCTGTGGCCATGTCAGCGGAACCACGGCCGCTGACTGAGCCTGGATGGATTTCCAGAGAAGTCTCTGCTAAGGAACTGCTCTGAGGTGGGACCCGACGTCACTGCAGAGTAGGACATGTGCTAAGTGCCACGAGGGGACAGGGACCGGGCCCAGCACTGCCCAGCCCTGGAGTCGGTTTCTCATCTGCCCTTAGATGAGGCAAGAGGGCTCTTCAATCCAATCCAGAAGGCATGACCTGGATATAAGGCTGCTGTCACTTATTCAATGGTGCTGTGACTCGAATGACAAATAACTCTTGGGGATGATCAACCAGGTTAGTGGCTGGAGGAGACTGCATTGCTGGTGTTTACCAGCCCTGGTTTGAATAGGGGCTCGGATGCTCAGTAAACTGCCTTGGCCCTTTAGAGTGTCGACTGAGGGCAGGCAATCACCACATTTTGCTTTGAGACTGTCGAGCCCCTTTGGCCTTAATTTTAGACTCGTTAAGAAACCTTCTGATACGGAATTTGTGGAGGTGGCATCACTGGCCCTGAAATCAGTTCTGAGTTTTGTGCTTTGCTACTTCTTGTGTGTCGCCTTGGTTAAATTTTCCAGTGTGAGCCTCCGCTTTCTCATCTGTAGAATGGAGATGAGACTCTCATGTGGCTTCAAGGGCCATCCAGCTGGTGGCCACTTCACTTAATGCTCCACCATGTCCCCCAGTGTGGCTTCCTTGCACCTCTGGCAGGAGGCGGCAGCTTGGGCTGCCACCTCGGGGGTAGTTCTGTGATAAGAGCTAAGCTGACATGTCTGGGGGCATTTGCCATGTGCCTGCCCAGCCCTACGCGTTCTCAGGTACTGGCTCATTTAGTCTTCACTGCAGCTTTATTTTATAAAGAAACTGAAGCTGAGAGAGGTTAAGTGACTTGCTCAGGATCACAGCCAGGATGCGGCAGAAGCAGGATATATTTTTTATGAAAAGTTGTATCTGGTTTCTACATCTATTTCCTGTGGGTTGTTCTGGAGGATTAAAAATGATGCACACGTAAAGGAGCCAGCATGGTGCCTGGCACCTAGAAGGCGCTGGCTGGTCACTGGGCTGGTAGGAGCACCATGGGCTTTGGGCCCGGAGCTGGACAGGTGGGCTTGCCCTGCGCACCTGACAGCCAGTCCCTGGGAGCCCGGTTGGCCGTGAGGGAACCACACAAGGAGCACCTGAGCCTGGGAGGCAGACACCTAGCCTCTGTGCGTGTGGTGTGAGCTCCTGCGGTGGTTGGTTCAATGACGTATAGGAAGTGCCCAGGCCAAGAAATGGAAAAATCCTGCTCTGGCAGCCTGGTCCCTGGCAGAGGGGGACCTGGGTGGCTGGTGCTCTGGATGGAGCTTGTGACACAGCTGCTTATGGAATAAAGGCAGGGCTGCCCCCATCAGTCAGGGTCCTTGACTTGGAGCTAATAGAACTGAATGGTGGCAACAAGGGTTCTAAACGTCCTTTATGACTTGACAGACGGGGAGTGAGACAGCCAGCAGGGCTTAAACACGAGGCATTTATTGTTAGAAGTGGCAGATCTTACACTCAAATGGGTTTAAGCACAAACACATGGAAAGAAGGGAGGTGCCCCAGCTCCCGCAAGCCCTTCATTCCCTCCAATGCAGGTTTCAGCTGTGCTGCGGCCTGGCAACCACCGTTCCCAACCGTGCTGTTCCCTGTCCCAATGGCAGCAGGAGGTGACAGCCCTCCGTGGTGCCTACCAGCTGGCGGAGACAGGCTGCGCCGGACTCAAAACGCCATCTGCAGGAGCTCCGCCTCTTCTCCACACTTCAGGGAAAATGAGAAAAAGTCCCAACAGGCAAGATGCATTTTCTTAAATAACTGGATAGAGGTATATGGCATTCATTTGCTTAATAAGCAAAACAAAACCAACCAGTCTGGTGCTGGTGCTGCGGCAACATCAGGAAAAGCCGGAGTCTCCCAGGGCTGGCGGGCGTGGAGCCACCCTCGGACCTCGCCCGGGAGCCTGAGGGCAGCGGGGCCGGGCCTGTCAGAGGGGGCCCTCCCCACCTGCTGGGGTGGTCTCGGGGCTCCAGGCCCGGGAGAGTCTTCAGTCCTCAGTCACAGGCGGGGGTATGAGCTGTAGCTGGAAGTTCTCCTTCTGGAAGATGCTGGTGAAGGCAGGGCCACTCTGGGAGCCGCTAAACGGCCTGCAGCTCTCGCTGCCACGCTTCTGGGAGAGTTCCGTAAGCAGAGCCAGCTGCAAAGGAGGGGACACCCGTCACCCAAGGCTGGAGGGCAAGACCCGGGTGTGGACCCCAGAGCTGCATCTCGCTAACAGGCACTGGTGACTTGGCACAAGTTCACGCCGTCTGCTAGGGCCTAAATTCCCTCCTGTGATGAGGAGGAGGCTGGACTGGGTAAGTCCTGTGGGCACAACAAACTGTGACACTTTCCGACAAGGGGAAGCTGTCCGATCCTGAACCTCCTTCACTCTGAGGAGTCCCTCTCCAGCGGGTGTGTGACCCTGTTGCCTCCGTTCTCTCCCTGTGGACACACAGCCTGAGCCGCGGTTCTCCACTGTCTGCTCAGCTCACGCCACACACTCCCTGTTGGTGGGTTCTCCTGGGGATGAATGACGATCACTGGCTCCGACCCCTCTCCTTCGTGGAACCAGGGCAGCTCCAAGTGGACGCCCAGCTGCCACTTCAAACTCAGGGGCTCCAGGCAAACTCACAGATGCCACCTTCTCCTCTAAGTGCCCTCCCTGCGCCTGTCCACCAGCGACACCAGCGCTACCCTCACCCTGTTACAGGCTCAGTTCTGGGAGACCTGCTGAGGGGGGGAGAATGTTAACCCAGCCCACTGGGAAACCAGGCTTGGGCCCTCAGTGGGGCCATTCCTTTGACCTCAGAAATGCTTTCGGCAAAAGTACAGAGCCTGACCGCCTAGCCCTTGAGATGCCCTTGATGGTCAGAGAAGAGCTGAATGCCACACCCAAGCTCCTTCATCCGGAGAGAGGGCAGCTGTGAGGACCGAGCCATCACACACAGCAGGGCGAGCCTCTCGGTGTCAGCCTGCAGGCCCGGAGTCTGCGGGACTTCTAAAAGCCCCAGGTAAGTTCCCTGAGTGAGTGCCTTTTAGGCACCAGGCACCAGGACACTAGGTCCTTTACATGAATTATGTCTAATCCTCCACAACCACCCTCTGGGTAAACATCCCAGAGCCCTGAGAAGTTAAGTTACTTGCCCTGGGTCACCCAGCGATGAGTGACAGCGTGGGACTTGAACTCTGGTCCCTGTGACAGTTTCTGCTCAGCCGAGCTGCCTACGGTTCTGCCTTCTCTGGAGATAACTTGTCTGTCACCTGCTCTCTCCTCACCTCCCCTGCCAGGTAGTCTGTCTTCCAGCTGTTCTCCAATCTCTAGCAAGGGTTCTCTCCTCACCCAGGCAATAGTGGCAGAAGACTCATACGTGTCTGTCACTTCTGTTGAAAACTCAATACCAGTGACTGTGGTAACTGGGAAGACATCTCAAGGCCCCTTGGTTCAAAGTGCCAATTTATCTAAAATAATCCAGCGCCTGCTCCCGGTTCCAACACACAGCTATGGTTCAATGCATAATTCGTAACACAGGCTCGAAAGCTCCGACTGCAAACTCCTTAGCTGGCCCAGGACACGCAGGAGGTGGCTCCCTGCAGGGACTTCCACTGCTGCCTGAGCAGGTTACAGAGTGGTGTCCCTCGCTCTGCACAAGCCCCACCTGTGCCACTTTCTGTCTTCTGTAACCCTCTCAGCTTCCCATCAGCATGTGGAGTTCTCTGCAAGGACTGTTATGTACGATGCTATAACACGACAGGTGATAGATGCTACGTAAACCCAAAGTTCTTCCACATTGACACTGAAGTACACAAAAAATATTTTCTGTTTTCTAAGGAAAAAGATATTTTTGTGTTCTACTTCTGTAACTTAGTGTTCTAGAAATTGATGAGTCCTGAATAGTGGCTCAACAGTTTAAAGCAGCAGAACTTCCTTAGAATAGAAGGCCCAGAAACCCAACTCCTGGGGCAGAGCCTGGCTGGAAGTGATGCCAGTTCAGGAAACCTCCTGGAATAAAAGACCCTGCCCAAGACCAGCTCTCAAAGAGGGAACACCATTTTTGCTCTGGGCTGCCAGCAACCTAGCAGGTGTGTGGGGAGTGGGCAGAGGGAGCCCAGGCATAAAAAACAGCACATAGGCAGTCTGTGAAAGCCCAAGAAAAGCTTATGGAACAAATCTGGCCTGGCTAGAATTTAGGTGTGACTTTGGGCATGGAGGAGGTGGCAGAGTTTGGATTCCACTTCAGGTGATGGAGGGCCAGGAAAGTGCTGTAAGCAAGGGGGTAACAGGACTTTTGGGTTTGGAGATGGTGCCCAAGCAGCAGCCTGGAGAAGGGACAGAAGACCTGCAGTGACCTCTGTGAGCTGGAAGGAAAGGGGAGAAAGAGACAGGAGAGCTCCCTACTGAGTGGGTGGGGTGGGAGGGATGAACCCAGGGTGCCAGCAGGTGACTGCTTTGGGTGACCTGATGACAGAGGATGACACCCAGAGACAGGCACGGGCAAGGAGGAGCGGGTTGGAAAAGTTAATAAGTGCACTTCTGAAGTGCCTGTGGGGCCCCCAGACTGATGTTGTGGCATGACTGCTGTAGCCCTCTAAATCTGTACTCTTCTACAGCAACAGGATTCCAGCAGTTTTAGCCCATGGCCTTTTGGAATCAAGACCAATGTCCCCAGTCTCCACTGCAGTTAGGTGTGGTCACATGTCTAAGTTCCAGACAAAGGAGGTAAGTGGAAGCGGTGTATACCGTTTCTAGGAACTATCCTTAAGTAGAGGGCTTATGGTCTTCCTCCTTTTTCTCCACCTTGCTAGCAGGAATGCAGATGTGATGGTTTGAGCTGGGGCAACCATGCTGCATCATGCAAATATAAGCCATATGTTAGAGATGGCAGAGCCACAAAGTAGAAGAAATCTGGAGAGAGGTTTGTGGAAGATGCCCTGGGATGCCCATATTTACAATTCTATTTTGGTTAAGCCACTACAACTTAGCATTTATCTTTCATGGCAAAGCAAATTCAACCAGTGCAGATGTCCAGCAGAGTCTGGGGCTTAGGGCAGATTTGGCAGTCATCAGTATAAACAGAGGCTCCCACATGAGGGATTAGGCTTATGCCTGCTCTCTCTGGAGGCAGTACAAACACAGATGCCCTTCTGTGTCCTCACAGCCCAGGGCAGGTAAGGGACAGATACCTTTCCACTTCCTCTGCATGCTTTGCCAAGTTCTGAGTGCTCCCTGGGGTCAGGGCTCCACATAGCCATAACAGGGATGCCAGGGCACCTTACAGACTAAGGATGAGGCTGGAGTGAGGACCTGAGAACACTGTGTTACCAAAACACTAATTATAAATAGGGAAATAAAAATGTAAACCACCACACCAACATTACCCTAGAACTTCCTCGGTAGAGATGGCAAAGCTGATCAAATGCTTGGATCTGCTGTGGATCCAGAACAGGTTCTGAGGTTACCTGAGAAATCAAAAACAATAAGGTTAATAATAACACCCATGGGCAGCCTCTGTATTTGGTCAGCGGTGAAACAGGATGCAGTGCTTCCTTCACTCCTCTGAAGAAAATCCATGCTACCAGCAACTGATAAGATATTTTACTGAACATGAATTAGAAATGGCCGTGTGCCTCCACACGCCCTTGGTGCCAGCTCCAGGCCGACAACCTCCCTATGGCCCCTTCCCATGTGGTCTCCAGATTCTCCATACTTAAAAACGAAGAGATATGGGAACATATGTATATGTATAACTGATTCACTTTGTTATAAAGCAGAAACTAACACACCATTGTAAAGCAATTATACTCCAATAAAGACATAAGAAAAAAAAAAAAAGAGCTTCCCCTGGGGCTTCTTGGTCCCTCTTGGCCTTTACTCTGCAGAATAATTTAGCTGCACCCAGCCTGGCAACCCCAGCACTGAATACGGCCAGCAAAGATGCCCCTTCTTTGTGCTGCCAGTGGAGATACGTCATACATGAAAAAGCATGTCATTTCCCTGCCTCGTTATAAAGCTGGTAGCCACCTAAGGGGCTGAGATTTTAATCTGCTTTTGGGAGAGGGGAAGTCTACCTTGCTTTTCCAGCAGTCTCGTTTTGTTCCACTGGTTACTGCGCCCAACACTGTGGTCCTGCTCTTGGTGGATCAGATCCAACTCACAGCTAGAGGAAGAAATGGGATCCTGGCAGAGGCCGCCATAAGCTTTGGAGTCAGGTGAACTGGAATACCAGTTCTGATACTAACCTGCTATGTGACTTTAGGCAAGTTCCTGCTCTGACTTGTGAGACAGGATAATGCTTCCTTATGAGGTTACTGAACATTAAATTAGATGAGGTCCATATTTAAAGTGTCTTTTACCTGCCTGCCCCCACCCCATAAAGGCTCAGTATATGCTGGTTTTTGTTTCTTTTTTAACATCTTTATTGGAGTATAATTGCTTTACAATGGTGTGTTAGTTTCTGCTTTATAACAAAGTGAATCAGTTATACATATGTTCCCATATCTCTTCCCTCTTGCATCTCCCTCCCTCCCACCCTCCCTATCCACCCCTCTAGGTGGTCACAAAGCACCGAGCTGATCTCCCTGTGCTATGCGGCTGCTTCCCACTAGCTATCTATTTTACGTTTGGTAGTGTATATATGTCCATGCCACTCTCTCACTGTGTCACAGCTTACCCTCCCCCCCCAATATCCTCAAGTCCATTCTCTAGTAGGTCTGTGCCTTTATTTCCATCTTGCCCCTAGGTTCTTCATGACCATTTACTTTTTCCTTAGATTCCATATATACCGTGTTAGCATACGGTATTTGTTTTTCTCTTTCTGACTTACTTTACTCTGTATGACAGACTCTAGGTCCAGCCACCTCACTACAAATAACTCAATTTCGTTTCTTTTTATGGCTGAGTAGTATTCCATTGTATATATGTGCCACATCTCCTTTATCCATTCATCTGTTGATGGACACTTAGGTTGCTTCCATCTCCAGGCTATTGTACATAGAACTGCAATGAACATTTTGGTACATGACTCTCTTTGAATTATGGTTTTCTCTGGGTATATGCCCAGTAGTGGGATTGCTGGGTCATATGGTAGTTCTATTTTTAGTTTTTTAAGGAACCTCCATACTGTTCTCCATAGTGGCTGTATCAATTTACATTCCCACCAACAGTGCAAGAGGGTTCCCTTTTCTCCACACCCTCTCCACCATTTACTGTTTGTATATTTTTTGATGATGGCCATTCTGGTGTGAGATGATATCTCATTGTAGTTTTGATTTGCATTTCTCTAATGATTAATGATGTTGAGCATTCTTTCATGTGTTTGTTGGCAATCTGTATATCTTCTTTGGAGAAATGTCTGTTTAGGTCTCCTGCCCATTTTTGGACTGGGTTGTTTGTTTTTTTGATATTGAGCTGCATGAGCTGCTTGTAAATTTTGGAGATTCATCCTTTGTCAGTTGCTTCATTTGAAAATATTTTCTCCCATTCTGAGGGTTGCTTTTTTGTCTTGTTTATGGTTTCCTTTGCTATGCAAAAGCTCTGAAGTTTCATTAGGTCCCATTCGTTTATTTTTGTTTTTATTTCCATTTCTCTAGGAGGTGGGTCAAAAAGGATCTTGCTGTGATTTATGTCATAGCGTGTTCTAGCCTATGTTTTCCTCTAAGAGTTTGATAGTGTCTGGCCTTACATTTAGGTCTTTAATCCATTTTGAGTTTATTTTTGTGTGTGGTGTTAGGGAGTGTTCTAATTTCATACTTTTACATGTACCTGTCCAGTTTTCCCAGCACCACTTATTGAAGAGGCTGTGTTTTCTCCACTGTATATTCTTGCCTCCTTCATCAAAGATAAGGTGACCATATGTGCGTGAGCTTATCTCTGGGCTTTCTATCCTGTTCCATTGATCTATCTTTCTGTTTTTGTGCCAGTACCATACTGTCTTGATTACTATAGCTTCGTAGTATAGTCTGAAGTCAGGGAGCCTGATTGCTCCAGCTCTGTTTTTCTTTCTCAAGATTGCTTTGGCTATTCTGGGTCTTTTGTGTTTCCATACAAATTGTGAATTTTTTTGTTCTAGTTCTGTGAAAAATTATGCTGTTTTTTCTTACCACAATTTAGAGCTCCCTCAGTTAAATGATGGTGTGTTTCAGTGATGAAGGTGTTGACATTTGCGTCCATCCTGAGGGCTGAGTGAGGGCTCTGGGACTAAAGGGAGCTTCAAAAGGTGGTCTGGAGACTCGTTCTGTTTATAAGAAAGTCCTGGCAGGAACGGCCACCAGAACAGTGATATAAACAAATGCCTGCATCCAGGATGTGGAAGAAGTTCAGGAACAGGGCAGGCACAGAGCAAGTAACATCACTCAGAACAGTTACCATGTACTGAGCATTTCCTACGTGTCAAGCCCTGTGTGCTACGTGATTTTCGTGGATGACCTCATTAAACCCTCACAGCCACTCTAGGAGGGAGGTTCTGCCATGTTCATTCTCCCCCACCCCCCAAAGACTTGAACTTTAAACAGCGTTACAACTTTAAGAAGTTATGTGAACTTGTGTTCCAGGAATGACTTTGCTTCTTTTCTTCAAAATTTTCACCACCCTTAGGGGGAAAAAACCCACTAAGCAGTAAGAGAGAATGGAAATAAGCACTACCCCTGAATGAATCATGCTAATGATTGTGAAATGACTTCACAGCTTCTCTGTGAAAGGATCTGCTTCAAGACCAAGAGAGCAGCTGTCAATAAGGAGGCTCACAGCTCCTGGGCTTCTGTAATCCCACGATGATGCCCCAGAGACCAGCCCAGGACACAGCTGCCTCAGTTCTTCCTGATGCTCTCAGTGATGTGGGAATGGCTGAGGATGGCCTGATGGGAATCCCAAGCAGGGCAGCCAGAAAGAGAAAAGGATGGACCATAGGGGTCCTGCTTTTCATTCTAGACTCATACCTCTGGGTCTGCCAGACACATGGAGGGATCATCCTCTAATCTGAGAATGCTTAAACTTGCCTTGACACTTTAAGAAACACTTCTTCTCAATATAATTTGGTACAAAAACTATCCTATTCTTAGAACGTGTGTGGAGTATCACACTTCCAATAGATACTAAGTAAGACGCACAGGGGAGTTCCAAGCTAAAGATGAGGAGAAGGTTTGAGAAATACTGCAAACCAAGCTACTAAGTAAGACGCACAGGGGAGTTCCAAGCTAAAGATGAGGAGAAGGTTTGAGAAATACTGCAAACCAAGCTCAAACAAACAAGCAAAAAGAGAAAATATATAAATACCTTTGAGAGACTTAACACTGGTCCTCCCCTGATTTTCCAAATCCCTTCAGTACTACTGGCATGAACGGGGGAGCAGGACAGGCTAAGGACAAGGATGACACCTGCCTTTCACTGGCAATTCAAAACCTCAGCTGTGGGGCCTGCCAGTGCCGCAGTCCATATGACAAGGGACCAAGCTGCCCTGATCTTACCTTTGTTTATTATTCCCTGGTTACTCCGTGATGCAGTTTAACAAGGAGGGTCCAAGTGGAATGGCGTCAGGAGTGGACTAGGTAAGGCAGCAGGGGCTGGGGGTGGGGCTGTTAAGGCAGGTTAATTAACAAGGAGATTGTAAAGGCGAAGGTGGAAGATGACAAAGCAGCAAGAGCAAGAAAAGGTCTCTCCTTACAGAAACGCTTCTATAAAACAGCCCTTTGCCTTGAAGGGATAATGTAAGAAAAAAAATCTCATGAAACGTGCACCACTGTACTTGTTATGAAAATCCAGATGTACAGGCTACTTGTGATGGTCCAGTGAAGAAATTCCCATCAGACCCTGTGCTGAGAAAAACTGTGTTGGACACAGTTACTAGTTGTGTAGACTTGCTACTAATTGTGTTTTCTTTTTTGTTTCTGTCACTAGGGAGCTCAAAACTTTAAGTGGTCAGCTACATAAGTCTAGCAGCTGCACAAGACTTGGTGGCAAACATTTATGTGTGCTATTATAGTCTGGTTTTATATTAGTTTCCATAGGCATACAGTTTTTTTTAAAATCTAGATTTCCTCATTTCTTCATCCAATCGGTTGTATTTTGGAAGCCAACTCAAATCATTTTGGGAAAGCAAAGGTCAAGTCAGGTCAGAAGTAGAAAATGCATATGACAAACCCACAACTAACATCATTCTCAACAGTGAAAAGCTGAAAGCATTCCCTCTAAGATCAGGAACAAGACAAGGATGTCCACCCTCACCACTTTTATTCAACATAGTTTTGGAAGTCCTAGCCATGGCAATCAGAGAAGAAGAAGAAATAAAAGGAATCCAAATTGGAAAAGAAGAAATAAATCTGTCACTGTTTCCAGATGACATGATACTATATGTAGAAACTCCTAAAGACGCTACCAGAAAACTACTAGAGCTCATCAGTGAATTCAGTAAAGTTGCAGGATACAAAATTAATATACAGAAATCTCTTGTATACCTATACACTAA